CAAAAACGATTTTCAATTTTTTTGTAGTTTATTGCACTTTTTTGCAATTTATGTAATTACTATGCACTTAATGCATGCATATTATTAAAATTTAGGCTGTAATGGTTGTATTGATGTATAGCAACTTGAAATGCTCCCAAAAATGGCGCTACGGCATGTAAAAATATAATATAAGCTCTGGCGGACTTGGTTCTATGGTAGGTCTTAAAGGGTTAAAGTTGTGTAATCTGAGCCATCAGATGATATGGGCTGACACTGACATCAGCTCTCTTGCTGTGATTTCAGCTAAGCTTGATTTTGTGTCTGCTTGTACGAGCATTAAGCTCGATTAAAATTCAGGTCTCCTTGTGATTATGATGCATATTTAGTTTGATGCTTTTTGTGTTAAAAATCTATCCTCCGTGCATATTTTGAAAATGTTTCTACCAAAATTTAATAAAAAGAAAACGATTATCATAAACAGAATGAAATGAAATTATTATTCAATTTAACAATGAAAGCCTAGCTGAAATTATAATGCATCGTCGCAGTCCTTGTGGCACACGGGTTGGCAGCCCGTGCAGCCTTAAAAGCATATTAACCCTGTCTGGCAGTAAGTTTAATGGATAATCCGGAGCCTCTCCACCTGCTCCCTCGCTGTGTGTCTCTCTGCATGGGAGCCACAGCTAAAAGCCTCGTATATAAACAGCGCTCGTTACTCTTTGGTATGTCAGCACACAGTCACGTTTGATTTAGCATCTCATCCTGGAAGTAACACAAGGAGAGACTAAAGTGTTGATGAGGCGACCCAGTAGCTCAGCCCATCTCTCCGGTGCTGTTTGATTAGTGTTACATCTGCCAATGTCGGTCTAGGCAGCAAATCCCTCACTAATTTGGCAAATCTCAGGAGAATCTGCTTGTTTCCTCTGCCGGCAGTTAGACTAGCACCCATTACTTGATATGAGGAGAGACAATTTCCTCCTGTCTACATCCAGACGTCTAACAATTTAATACAAGACTGCTCATTTGCTGTGTCATGCAGCTACACAGTGGCAAAAACACAAAGTGTCAATGTGTAAATTATTCAGCACACATTTCTTTTCCTGAAATGTATGATACATGGATGCTCGCTCCATATTCATGGACACAATAAAAACATTAAAATCAAATCCCTGACTCGGACTTCAGATGTTTTATATTATTTTTGATTAAAATATTTACATCCCATTCAATGTTTCATCACTTCTGTGTCTTTTCTCTCATTACAATTTATGTTTTGGTTGAATTTCCTATGAATCTGAGCTGACACAGAATAGAACCAACAACAGAAGGACCTACAGTAGCTTTGTTTTACTATCTTGGTTTCTATTTTTCTCTGTAATTTTCAAAATGTTCAAATGCAGCCACCAAAAAGTTGATTCTGATCATCTGGACGTAGCGTTTTCTGGGAGAAACGTTTCATCACTCATCCAAGTGACTTCTTCAGTCTCAGCTGACTGCAGGTTTCAAT